TTTTTTTGCTGAGGAAGACTGGCCCTGGACTAACATCCATGCCCATCTTCTTCCACTTTATATGTGGGATGCCGCCACAGCATGGCCTGCCAAGCAGTGCGTCGTGCGTGCCCGGGATCCGAACCAGTGAACCCTGGGTCGCAGCAGCAGAGCACGCACACTTAACTGCCTGCGCCACCGGGCCGGCCCTAAACACATCTTTGTGTACTTGTTCAAGTACATCTATAATAATTACAGATTTCAAGTCACTCCTTAAAGTTAGATGCTAGAGTAGCAAGGAAGCTAGAAGAGGAAAACAAACAGGTGGCATGTGTGTGACACCCTCACTTCCCACACTCGTACCAGAGCAGGTCTCCCGTTCCTCGTGCATATGGACTCACAAGACTGTAGATGAGAAACATGTAGTTGATACTTTAAATTTCTGAATTAGGATACATAAAACAATTCATTTAAAGTCCGTAGTGATTATTTTTAATATTGTAGTTTGGGATTTCATCCCTTTCTCCAGTTTCCTAACGATTCTTTTGGTACTAGTGCTTCTAAATAAATATACTTGGACTGAGTATCAGCTTAAATAATTAACTTCTGAGTCTCAGTTTCTGTCCACCTACATAGTGGTTGTAATGATTAAAATAAGATCACACACTCAAAGCCTTAGAGGATGCCAAGTACCCTGCTCAATGCATGATTATTCCCTTTGTTCCTTCCCTAATGTGACCATATTTTTGATCAGCCGTAAAAGATTTAGAGCTTACAGTTCTTAACTACGTCCTCTTAAAGGATATGGAAAGATTGGATTGACTCCAGGGAGGCTGTATTGTGAACAACAGTTCCTGTCATTATAATTTATGGTAATTTCTCAATATATCTCTACATTAAGTAATATAAAGCTGCTTCTCCTGGCTAAATTTGCAACTCTGGAAAATCCTGAATACCCCCCTGTCAACCAAATGTCTAGTGGAAAATGGAATGGAGAAATTTAATAAGATGCCTTCTGTATATCCCACAGTAGATACTTAATAAATATTTATTGAATGAATTAATGTATTTTTGCCCCAGGCAGGAACCTTGGGATCTTGCGCTGCTTACGAAGACCTGGTATACGAACCTAGCCAACATCAAATTGCCTTTCTTGGAAGAAATTACATTTGGTAGTCCTTTACACCCCCAAAAATGTGAAACCATTAAGGATGGTCTGCTCCCTTCTGCAGAATGTAAGTTCCATAAAAACTACTTTAATAAATTGCAAATTGTGTGTGTGTTATTTTGCTTATTATCAGAGAAATGTTTAAATATGCTCATTCATACCCATACTCCCTATCTATGTAGCCCTGTCTTCTTGTTTAGTATTCAAGAATGTGAATTTCTCTGTGTGATAAATATTCAGTTCTGACTAAATTATGCCTGGTAAAAAATGTCAGTTGGATTGCTTTGTGTATGTTATTTTTCAGCCATCAAACTTGAAAGGGACTCTGAAATGAAGCGCCTGAATAACCTGAAACGTCAGGAAAATGCAGCTGAGGAAATTCAGATTTCCCTAAGAGAAAGGCCAGTTGGTTTGAGAAGACCTCTTCCACCTAAGTGACAGTCATCTCATAGTGGAATCTGAACTCTGTGCTTTCCACATCCGAAGGAATGAAGGGCTCCCACCTTCCACTGTGTCAAGTTCGGTGCAGACATCTGAATGCCCACTGGTGGATGAGCCAGCTCCCGTGAGTTAGTGGACAGCTCTGACGGATCTTCTGGGTCCCTGCCACAGGCTTGTTCCTTTGTATCACAAGCAACAGCTCTGTAAGTAGATGAAAATGCAGCTGGAATTGAGTCATTTGTGCTATTCATTTTTTTTAAAATAATTTTTATTTTTATTTATTTTTTTCCCCCCAAAGCCCCAGGAGATAGTTGTATGTCATAGCTGCACATCCTTCTAGTTGCTGCGTGTGGGACGCGGCCTCAGCATGGCCGGAGAAGCCGTGCCTCGGTGCGTGCCTGGGATCCGAACCCGGGCCGCCAGCAGCGGAGCGCACGCACTTAACCGCTAAGCCATGGGGCCAGCCCCTATTCATTTTGATTTTTGTAAAATTCACCAAGGGAAGAGGAAACTCCTTGTCAGAGACGTTATTTTGAAGAACATTTTGAATTTGCGTCTTTGAGATCCCAAGGAGACACCAAAAAGAAGGAGACAGAGAACTTCTTTAAGAAAATTTTTTTTAATTAAATTTAATTTTTTTATTGAGGTCATATTGATTCTAACATTATATAAATTTCAGGTGTATGTCATTATATTTTGACTTCTGTGTAGACTGCATCATGTTCACCCCCAAAAGTCTAGTTGCCATCTGAGAGAAATTCTTTTAAAAATGATAAACTGTGAAAATTTTTGTTAGGTTAAGAAAAATTGTAGTTTCATTTTAGTAACTCTCCAGTTTCCAATTTTCAGTGAAATATCATTTATTATTCTCATGTGGTACTTTAAAGTAGAAAGTAGAACTTATTTTGGTCTTGTTCTCCTAAAAAGTCATCTGTCTTTTTCCTTCTGCCTAATTTCATATTGTCTCTCTGGGATGCCTCTGGATCATGTGGAACACACATACATATGTGAAAGTGACGTGAAAACACGAAGACCTTATTATGAGGGAAACTCTTATTTGCACAGGATGGCTGGAGAATGGAGAATTGATTAACTGGAAAGTATTGGATTTGCAGGAACCAATTTTCCTAGAATTTGAATCCAATAAAGCACACTTGGATATGAAAGTTATATTTAAGCACAATTAAGTGTTTGTTAGAGGATTCAGTAGGCATTTCAGGATCTTCTGGTATCTTAGCCTCATTATGAAAGGCATTATGGCATAGTGTTTAAGAGTACATATTTTTGGGGGTTGGCCACATGGCGTAGTGATCAAGTTCAGTGCGCTCTGCTATGGTGGCCCGGTTCAAGGGTTTGGATCCCGGGCGCAGACCTACACCACTCGTCAGCCATGCTATGGCAGCCACCCACATACAAAATGGAGGAAGATTGGCACAGATGTTAGATCAGGGCAAATCTTCCTCAAGCAAAAAAGAGGAAGATTGACAGCAGATGTTAGCTCAGTGTGAATCTTCCTCAACAAAACAAAACAAAAGAGTACACACTTTAGACCTTGCTGGCTTCTTCAAATCTGAGCGTGGCTGCTTATAGTGGGAGGAACTGGGGTAGGTTACATTATGTCTCTGAGCTTCAGTTTTCTTAAACGTAAAATAGAGGTAATACTGATACCTCTTTTATAGAGGTGTCATGAGGATTAAATGAAAACTGCCTGGCATGCAGTGAGAACTACTCTAGTATTAGCTATTACTGTGAACATCACTACACTTATACCACTATAATATCAATTTAGAAGATGTATTATATTGGTCTGACTCTGTTGACTTTGTGTAGGCCAGAAGTTTTGAATTTGCAAAAATTTGGTTTTGTTCCTGTCAGTGTGTATGTCCTCACCAGACCATATGACCTGATGTTTCAGTGCAAAATCTGGCCACTTTACCTATGGCATATCCTGATAATTTCTGTTTAAAACAATAATCTCTGATAATCAGCCATCACTTATGTCTTTCTATTAAAAGAAGCATGGAAAATTTGTGTGTGAAAAAGCCATGTTCTAATGTTTCCATTGTGTAACCCAGGAACATAGATGTCACTTTATGGTCTGCTCTCAGGAACCACCAAGGAACCTTAGGCGTCTTACTCCTCACCTCAGAGCCTTACACGCATAGTTAGTGATGTTAATTGGAAGTTAATTGGAAGCCTTCTTCAGAGCTGTTGTGAAAATGAATGATATATGTATCTGTTTGCAGAAAGCTTTCCAGAATAAAACATTTAATATTCCTTGAGAAAAGGTGGGATTTGAGGAAGCTTTAGTTTCCCATCATTCTCTTGAGAGAAAAATGCCTGCTTGCGGCTTTAAGATTCTTTTTTTTTTTTTTAAGATTTTATTTATTTATTTATTTTTCCCCCAAAGCCCCAGTAGATAGTTGTACGTCATAGTTACACGTCCTTCTAGTTGCTGTATGTGGGATGCGGCCTCAGCATGGCCGGGCAAGCGGTGCGTTGGTGCGCGCCTGGGATCCGAACCCGGGCCGCCAGCAGCGGAGCGCGCACACTTAACCGCTAAGCCATGGGGCCGGCCCAAGATTCTTCTAATTATGCTATGTTTTTAGGCAGATATTTCTGAACCTGCTTAAAACTGCACATAGTGAAATAAAATTACATTGCAAAATAAATTTGAGTAATATGTGTTTATGTATCTCTTTCTTGAAATGACATAAGAGCAGGAATATTTTCTTACTTATGTTAGTACTGCCGGGCCTAGCTCAATGCCTAACTTATGTAGGCACTCATTATACATTTGTTGATTATTGACTGAAAATTTCCATGTGGTCAAATGTCCATAATAGAAAGTACTTCATAGTTGTACCCTTAACTTTTTGTGGTATGATAACTTTTAGGAGAGGTAGCCATGATGTGATTGAACATGGGGCTCAAACAGTTCAAGACAAAGATAAAATGAACAAATACACAATTTTTACGTAAAATGTCTTAAAGTTATAAAAACCTATTTTAAAGTGATACCAATTTTCTTTGCATACAAAAATTTTATTCCTTTACATCTCTGACCCCCTCCACTTTGTTATTGATGTCACAAATTACATCTTTTCATATTTGTATCCATTAATAGAGATTTATAGTTATATTTTATGCTTTTGTCTTTTAAATTCTATATCAGAATTAAAAGTGTGCCACCATTACAGTACTACAGTATTCTGTATTTGTGTGTATATTTACCTTTACCAGTGACATTTATACTTTTATATGCTTTTGTGTTACTGTCTAGTGTCATTTTGTTTCATCTTGAAAGACTCCTTTTAGCATTTCTTGTAGGACAAGTCTGGTCGTGATGAACTCCCTCAGTTTTTTTATCTAGGAAAGTCTTAATTTCTCCTTCATTTTTTAAGGTCAGTTTTGCTAGGTATAGTCTTCCTGGTTGGCAGTTTTTTCTTTTCAGCACTTTGAATATATCATCCTACTCCCTTCTGGCCTGCAAAGTTTCTGCTGAGAAATCTGCTGATAATCTAATAGTAGCTCCCTTGTACATGACAAGTTGCCTCTTTCTCTCTTCTCCTTCTGGGACTCCCGTAATGAATATGTTGCTGGTCTTGATGGTACCCCACAAGTCTCTTAGGCTCTTTTCACTTTTTTTTTTTTTTT